CATTATAATGTCTGATTTTTTTTTTTTCCCCTGCACAGACATTTTACCACGGAAATAAGAACAGCAAAAGATTCAGAGAAGGGAGAGCCTCTTCAGGTTTGACAGAAGCAGGTGTGAAGAGTGGATCATCACAGCATCGATTCTAGATTTAGGTCTAATACAGGTTCTTGAATTCTAGAAGATTTTTTTTTTTTAAACAAATGTACATGTAACATTTGTTTGATGTCGTCATGGTGGCTATTGTTGGTGTGATAAGAACCTTAATATTTTTAGAAGCCAGAATGATAGAAAAAGCTTCTAGTTAAAAACAAATCAGTGGGGACGCCTGGGTGGTTCAGTCGGTTAAGTGTCTGCCTTTAGTTCAGGTCATGATCTCAGGGTCCTGGGATCGAAACCCACATCGGGCTCCCTGCTCAGGGGGAGTCTGCTTCTCCCTCTCCCACTGCCCCTGCTTGTGTTCCCTCTGACAAATAGATAAAGAAAATCTTAAAACAAAACAAAACAAAACAAATCAGTAGTTCTGGGCAATAACAGCCCTTTTACTGACTGCATGGTCTTAGGCTCCTGAGATGCATTAATACTGACTTCCTTCTAGTAAAAGCAGATCATGCCTCCTGTTCTGCTCCCAGAGTAACTAGAAAGGTAAAATGATATACTGGATGTGGAGCAATGTGAAGATCACAGAGCAGGGTTCAAATGCCAGGCTTGATTATTTTAGTAAGGAAGTGGCATCACTAATTTAAAAACATGATTAATATCAGTTTGTCAGTTAACTAGCCCGCAGTAGGTATATTTTACAGAAGTGTACTGTAATGCTTCGGGTGATTTCTGTAGATGCCCTAACTCTCCCTCTGTCTTAGGATGCCACCTCCTGCATGACCCCGCACATGCTGCTCGTACTTTGATTATTGGATTATTGGTTTACATGACTGTCCTTCCCAGGAAACTGAGTCCCTAGAGGCAGTGGCTACCTCACTTTAGACTGTATGTCCTAGCATACAGCTTGCTACATAAATATGTAACAAGTGATAGAGAGAGGATGTAATCCAAGAAGACAGAGATTATGTCTTCCATATCTTGGCCCCTATATCTTTATCCAAGTACGGTGCTCTGGTCAAGGAGGCATTGGATTGCTGAATAAAATGATTAAATATCTAATATCTAAACCACATCATCATTGCCAGATTAAAAAGGCTGATTTGTGCAAATCTATTCTGAAAAGCAAGCACCTCTCTGACGAGAGCAAAAGTAAATCAGGAATGTGACCATAGAGCGATGGGACTAATTTCCATGTGTGACTGTAAAATCAATCTCCGTATTTTGCAGTCAGATCTTGTAAATTAAGAGGATTACCGTGTGTCTTAGAGCAGCGCTTACTGCTTTAATGAGTAAATCATCTATAAAAAACTGAGTTCTTTTGCTGAAAGTGCTATTATAAATGAAATGTGGTCTTCTGGAAGATAAACAGGCAGCATTGAACAAATTAAAAAGCTCATTCTTCAAAATAAAAAAAAAATGGTCAGAAAATATGGTTTCTGCCAGATAACACAAAAAAGCAGTATGGATGACTTCCTGGAGGTAATAATTGTAAATAGGACATGTCTGATATTCACCTCATTAAAATCAGTTCTGCTAAAAGTATTTATGAAATCGAATTAATAGCTTCAGAGCAGAATTCCCATTCATATAAGACCAGATCTTCAAGCTTCTGGCCTCATCACTGAACAATGGTTCAAGTTTCTGTTAGGCGCCAAAATTAGGTTCTCCTCTCCAAATTTGGCAATAAACTACTTAGTAATTGTCCTGCCTGAAAAATCCGCTGGCATTTAAATTCATCCAAATTAAGATAAATAATAAAAAATTAAGACATGCTAAGAAGCCTTTGCATATCATTATGCAAAATAACACGAAGCTAATTTTATACCAAATGATGAGAAAACTTGTAACTTAGTCCTACCAGAAATGGGGTTCAACAATTCAAATTTAATTCTTCATACCCAATTCAAGAGTTTATCATCTTATAATCTATACTTGGGAAAAAGTTTTAAATGCCATTATAAAATTAAAGTGTCATGTGGTTTTTATGATGTTATTTACCTGATCAACATCATTGCTGAACCAAGGACTGGTAGGTTCAAGGTATCCATTTTATATACTTGTACAGTATGGTGCATATGTGAAATTCGTCCATGTGAAGGCAGTCCTTTTTAATATATCACTCTATAATACTGATAACATGATCTTGCATGCATCAGTTTCAGAGGGGAGTGAAGAGAAGTTCTATAATCACGACAGAATGGGGCTCAGCCTGGTCCTCTCCCACTACGAGTGGCCTGGGCGCTGGTCTGAAGGTGCGCTCCACTGCCCCCCTGTGCCAAGGTTGCGGCGATTCACTGTTCGCGGCAATCACTCTTTGTGATGACAACAGTATGTGTGATCACAGTCAAAGCGCTGAGGCCAGACTCCCAATTCTGGCATCACCGAACACAGGTGACAAATGAACAATCACAGAGGAGAATACTTTTCATACCCAATAATTAATATTCTCAGGCAGTGAGTGAGCGCTAAGAACAGGGGACGATGAATTGTAGGGGAAGGGCTGTCACCTAAACGGCTAGTCCACAGCGAACAGTGAAGACAATCTGGGCATTCTGATTTTCACAAGGGGTTTCTGGGGAAGTGCAAAATCACACGATGTGAAGATGTCACTTCAGAGGTTAAAACCACGTGCCTCTTTTCTAATGTACTGATTGTGCCTACCTGGCCCATTATGGATTTATCATTCATTAGCATATCTAACGTTTTTGTAACCTGGACTCCAATTAAAATTAATTCCTGAGGTTATGGTTTTCATTAGTCTATAAACATCTGTGTGGAAGAGTAAAATATAATATCCATGAGAAAAAAATTAGGCTGAACTACCCTTGACTCTCTGCTGGGACGGACATTATGCATGTGTACACACACACACACACACACACACACACACAGGTATTTTGTCTTTTTAAACCACATTTTATATGGGCACCTTTTATATGCTCACACTGAGCCTTCCCTAATTTTCTGGTTAATGGTGTCTCCTCAGACATTTTTGAGGGAAGTGTCTAGAAGGTTTCCACTGTCAGCTTGGCATTTAATTGTTCAGCTTGAAGTGGTTTCAGTGTCTATGAGCAACCTTCAGCATTTCAAACATCCTGAGTAAACTCCTCTATTTCATAAAATACCTTGCTGGTAACCTAAAGGTCCCCAACTTGAGATCCTCAGACCTTTAAGAATCCACGAATTTGTAACATAAATTTTTTTTGGTCAACTAAGACAACAGTTTTATTGTCCAAAGTCTTTACAAAATGATACTTAAGAAACTACAAGTCACAAAATCAGCCTCTAGGGAGTTCTGTCCATACAGTGCTTCATTCAGAAGAGGGTGGAGATACATGCAGGTATGTAAATAAACCCAGCAGACAATAAGCTATGCCCGGCAAGGACCTCCGCCCCCCGACCTGTTTATATGCTCCAACACCCCAGGACAAATCTTATAATAAATCTTCACTAGCTCTATGAACAGTTAGATTTTGTCACAAAACCAAGGTTCTTGAAAACGAAACCAAAGACTGCGTTGACTGGCAGAATTCAGAGAAACAAGTTTTCCTAGACCCCCGATTTGTATTCCTATAGCCGAAAATCCTCACTATGATGTCAGACGTCAAGTCAGAAGCAGCCTGACTATAGCATTTCCAACCAGTGTTACTGGAAGCATAATGCTGATTCAACGAAACACACTATGGCTCGAAATTTTCTTGTCTCATGTTTAAGTAAATGGGATTTTTCTTGCCTGTCAGAAGCCAGGAATCCCAACTGCAGCACAAATGGACAAATAGCAAACACAGGGCTGGGTCAGTCTGCTTTTATGGAAGGGGATTTCTCTTGTCCCTGATGGCAACAGTAACTGTTTACTGCACCGTACAGGGAGTTCCTGACATACTGTACCGCTATCTGATACCAGGGGCTCCTCCGGGTTCAGCAGAGAAGTGGAAATTAATCTGCCTTCTCAACAGGGGTTATATCCACACCGTCTCCGAACGCAGCAACTCAGTTACCAGAATACATTTTTTTTTCTGCTCTATGTTGTAATCGACCAGTTCTTAAATTTACATTTCAAAGGCTATGTTTTCATTTGGTTTGCACCACATTCATGCAATATGTTGAATGAATAAACTTGCACCAAGATGTCCCCATCATCCTCCCTGACACTTACCTGTGTTTGTGTACACAAACATGTGTGAAATATTCAAACCATATTATCTAATATATTATCTAATATAACTAGGTGCTTGCTACGGAATCACAGAATTAATACTAGAATGTTACTTATGTTTTCTTAAAGTTTTAAAGCAGTATTAAACATCTTTAATTAAATATAGATTTTACTTATTTATTTACTTCCCTAGCTCTGAGCCATATTCTCTAACTTACTCATGCACCTGATCTACAACTACAATAATTAAAATGTAAATTTAAATATATATAAAGGAAATGAAATATATGTACATGTATTACATGTATGTATTATATTATGTATGTATCTACATATAACATATATATATCCCATTTCCCTCTCTATATTTAAACTTACACATAGGTAGGGCGCATGACTAAGTTGGTGAGCACTGCTCAGAACTAAGGAAGTAGAGGTCGCAGAGTATCAGCTAGGTAAAAAGCGTTTTATGGCTCCTCGTCAAGTTAATGTGTTTACCTTTCATTTATTATGAGGAGGTTTTTCTAAAAAAATATATATATATTTTTATTGTCTGTTTACGGGCTATGTAATATACAGCTCACTGTACCTGTTTCACACTCGGATGCGCGGACATGAAAGCATTTGGTACGGATTCAGGAACAGTAAAAAGTAATGATGAGAGAGTAGAGAGAAATCTTAATCTAGAGGGAAAAATACGACAGGAAGAGGGGCTCCCCAGAGCATGTAAAGAAGAATCACCTACCAGCTCCACTCGACCGAAGCCTCCGACTCCGAGGGTGTCAATGATGTTGAAGTCAGACAGCTTCAGATTGGCGAAGAAAGCAGCTTCGGCTTCGTATCTGGATTTTTTGATGCGAAAAAACGGAAATTTCTTAGAGGCGCAAACACGAGAACCACGCACGACCGCCCCGGAATGACAGGCTTGTGGCTCGGGGTTTACCTGCTCAAATTCCATCTTGCTTCTAGAGTCTGTGTCTCCTCCAAAGCATAATTGTTTGGTCCCCGTTGTGCAGAATAACCAAGATTTGCACTTGTTTTTCAAAGGAGAATAAGACAAAGCACCTGGTGCCTGCTAGTCACGTGACTGAGGTCCAGTCACCAAGTCATAAGTTACATCGCAATGCTTTCCTGCGCGTCTTCTTGCGGGCACGGATTGTTGGGGTGGTTCTTTTTGGGTTTTGTTTTGGGATTTGTGGTTTTGCCCAGTTTTGGTTTTGCCGTTCAGATTTGGGATGGCAGTTCCTCATGAGTTTCCCTTATCCACAGGCTGGTAGTGGCTCCTATCAGTATTTATTAAAAGCAGCAACATCACTGAGGTCTCTGGAGCGACATCACAGCCAGGTTTTAGGAAAACAGATCCGAAAAGCGGAGGACTGATGGGCCCATGTCTGAAACGGAGGATTTCGGAAGCATATTCACATTCCTAAGAAGTATCTCCACTTCGTTTATGTTTACCCACTGCCTCTCAGCTGGTAATCCCAGCGACTTTATGGTGGCCAGTGTCTTATATGAGTGGTGTGCAGGAGCAAGACCATGCTCCGAGGGCTAGATATGCCCCATGCACATCTGACACATGTGAGGGGCCAAAATAAGCTTCTCCTGATGAGACAAGTGAACACCAGAGGCTTAAAATATCTTCTTATTAAAGGCCCTACTATTTTTAGAAAGGGCAGGAAGGCATAACAGTGAAGATGACCCTCCCTCTCACTCATGTCAGGTCAGGGAGTAATTCAGCTGTCTCCAAAATAAAGTATTTGCATAGCTCTGTGTAACCCATGACTTTCAGCCAGGTGGTACCTGATGCCGTCTATGCTATAGATAGACATGATGAATGCACTTGAGCAGATGATCCTAACGCTGCTCGTTTAGGTCAGTTTCTGGATAGAGTCACCCATAGGCATGCTTGGTGTTAAGCCGTGTCACATTTTAGCTATTCCTTTATAATCAAACACAAATTTAGACTCTCCCCTTGGAAGAAACGTGAAACGGCTTTCTAGGTGAGGTTTTAACATTCTCCAAGTTACAACCACAGTTGCAGTTTTTAACAATTCTTGACAGACTCATGAGAGGGTACAAACAACCTAAGTTTTCATTATTGGCTCCCTCTAATAAACCTCCATAAACGAGGCTGCTGGCCAATCCTGATGGCATTTGCAGACTTCTCTCATTAACTACACAATCAGAAGATCAGCACAGCCATTCTGGACATGGTTTACTAGAATGGAACATAAGCAGCAAATGTACATTTCTAGCATTCCAACTGGTCCATTACTTTTGGAAAACTAAAACACCATCCCATTTAAAGGGCCAGTGGCAGAGTTCACCTCAACAGGTGCCTTACAAGGACATCTGTTGGGATCAGACCCTGTCACGGTTTGTATGTGGTCAAGCATTTCCTGGCAGGTTAGATAATCAAATTCTTAATGAGACTGTTTTTGAATAATATCCTATGCGCTTGCTGGATTTAGAAATCTCAGACATGAAGAGGGTAAACTCTTTCAGACTATTTTGATACCATTTTATATATTTCATAAAGTGTGGTGTTCTTACAGTTCCTGAAGATACTCCCGATTTCTTACACTGGGGCTCTGTCAAGCTAGGCTGGTGATACATCTACACAAGTGATCTTCAGCCCTGTGTGCGCACCAGAACTACCCAAGCATCTCCCAGAAACCACGTAATGTGGGTCCCACCACAGAATGAGTGAAGCAGAAATCTTTGGAAGCAGTACCCAAATATCTGTATTTTTTAAAAGCTCTCTCGGTGATTCTGATGTACAACAAGCATTGAGAACTATAGCTCCAACCTCTCTGAGAGCCTTGGGAATTCTAGAAACCATGGGAGCATTTTGGGGAGGATTAAAATTGTCCTGGGAAATCAGTAGATGCCCATTGAGTCTGGGGGTGATGCATTCATGCCAAGAGTGCTGGGGGCTCTTACAAACTTGGTCTGGGCTCCTGCCCTCTGATCCTAGACCCACTGAAATGACCAGTAATAGCTACAGAGCTTAAAACAAATAAACAAACAAACAAAAAGGAACATTGCCAAAAGGGAAAAAAAAAAAAAAACCCACAGATACAGAATGCAGAAATCATAATGTAGCTGTTTTGTGTTTGCATTTCTACAGCAAAATCCGCCTGACTTTGCTTATAGTTACTCTCTGATTAACTACTGATGGTACTTTCATTAATGGGATGAATGTATTAAATCTCATGTTAAATAGTAGACATTTTCTCTGTAGCCATTAAAATCCACCTAAACATATCCTGCTCCATCCACTGAAAGCACAATTACCATTAAAGAAAATATATCATATTTTAATGAAAAGAGGTTGGTAACACTGTAATCATACTTTGCTAACCTTGGTAATTACTTTGCTAATATGGCTTGGTGACTTTTTAAAATACTACCCAGTGGGGTGATTTTAATCTAGTGGCTGGTGAGATACATTTTGAGGGGCCTTCATATAATGTGCTCTTGATGTTCTATTCTATTGTTTGTGCTGGGGCCTGATTCTCAGAGAAGTCAAAAAATGTAGGAATGCTACCACAGCGAGCTTTATTTTTTCTTTCCCACCCAGGACATGTTAGTTGCTTAATATTTTGCATGCATTTATTTCTCATTTAGATTACTCTTTATGGACAAGAGTTATATCACAGAGACCCTGTACACTTTTCCTTTTTGAATTAATAACTTCTTTTTTTAATGTGGCAATCACCCCGGGAAGGGACCTCTGTAAAAAAGTTAAACTGTGGATGATTTAGCCTCTTCAGGTATCTACACTTGTTCATAACTTGGACATACATTTTCATTCTTCCTTTTTACTCAGGGATGATTTGAAGATAATGTGAATCCATCAATTATGTTCTACTTATTTTAGAGTTGGTAAAAGTTTGAGCGGGAAAGGAAACTAAATAAATTGGGTAGGTAAATGGATGCTGTTCTATTAAATAAATTTCTTTTGCCTGAAGGAGGTCAGTGTGGAACCCAAGTTTCTAATGGAGTACCCTAATGGGGCCCAAGGAATTAGGCCCAGCTTCATTCAATTCTAAAATTCATCCATGAAAACAGCATTTATGAAAGGGACAATTGCCAAGCGCTAGGGGAAATTCATATCAGTAAGAAATAAAGTTCTCGATGTTTGGTTGCTTAAAATCTCAAAAGGCATAGAAAGTATATTTTCTAATGGTCCTCAGCTTAGTTTGAGATACTGATTTCTTCAAAGAATACTGTTATTATTATTTTAGTATTATTAATTAGTAATTATTCTCAAAATGTAAAATAATTTAATTTTAAATTTTAAATAATTATTATTATTTTAGTATGGGGTGAAAGCTAGGGATCCTCTTCTCAGGAAAGTGCAAATATCGACAAGCCTTTTACGCATATGACCCTAAAACAGGTCAACAACACAAAAATGAATATACAACAAGAAATTAACTGTGTTGGGTGAAGGAGACCGAGATAATCTATAATTTCTCAAACATCCTTGACCATAACATTCAGCTGGGGCTCTGGGTGATTAGAATCCACAGACAACTGCTCATCTGTATAGGGTACTCTTTAAATAGTGAAATACTAAACTTTTTTTTTTTTTTTTAAGAACTGATTAAAAGGAGTGAAGTTGTCTAGATGTTTCCTTCTTTTCATTCTGCCTATACACCAAGGAAGTTCCAAAAGTGATGAAAACGTAAAGCTGCAGGTATAAAGATGAGAAGAGCAAGGCATATGCATAGCCTAGAAACAGAACGGTCCTGGAATAATCTCAGCTTCTCTCTCTATATACAACTGCATATCTTTACAGTACTATATTGACTGTTTTTAGGAAATAGGTAATAACCATTTTGTTTTTCCATCTCTTCCAATATTACCAGCTTCCACAAAGGCATGGAGTAAGAATCAGGTGTCCTTCATTATTCACAACTGGTTTTCCATTGTTGCCGTATGTCCATGAATCAATGGTATCATCATCCCACAACCACAGAATTGGGCTCTATTCCTTATGAATGACCATTATTATTAAGAAGTAAACATCTCGCGCTCTCTACTGGAAACCACATATGATGATTCTCCCCAGTACAAAAATGTGTGGACCTTAAAATTTTATCTTTATCTTGATATTAGAACAGTAGTCATAGCTCAGCATTATTTTACAAAGCAGATTGTATCATATGCATTTTTAAACTAAGTGCCAAGGGTCCAAAGGACCATCATAATAGTTCTAGATAGGTTACAAAAGCCAATAATTAAGAGTCAATGGAACCAAAGGCCACTGTGGTCTTATCTGCTTTAGCCCCACTCATCTATAATCCACATAGCTTCAGAAGCCTACTCTAAGAGTCTCCAAGGAAAATCACATAAAGTCTTAGCACCTCCTAATCCACCTGCAAATTACCATGGCTTTGCCTGAGCTCATCTGTTATTGGGTATATTTTTGTTTCTTGTTTAGTTTTATCAGTTCTTGAGAAATCTATAAAAATGAAATGCTTCAGTAAACACATGGACTCTCAGCTATGACTAAGTTTCTTATTCCATAACTTCAATAAGTAAGATGAGATTCAATCAGACAATGTCTACTCTGGACTTAAAAATAACAAAAGAGCATCCTAGCATACAGACAAAAGGTAATGACTTGCGGTCCTAGCTCTGCCAATGACTTGGTACTTCCAAGTCCTGATTTCTTCAACATTTAGGACTTTCTAGGAGTATCAACAAATTTACACTTAATAAAGATGAATTTTTTAATTTGTCAGAATCCTTACTTAAATGCCTAAAAATATATTTTTTAAAAATTTTATGTGATCGAAGAGCATTGAAATCTGTAAATATATACAGAAAT